GCAGGCTTGTTAAGTGTCGTGCCCCTAGTCCCTATGAACCCCGATGCGAGTTTGATTACTGCGCTCGTAGAGAGGTGGCGACCCGAGACATCGACCTTCCATATACCATTTGGTGAGATCACGATCACGTTAGAGGACGTTGTTACACTGTCCGGTCTGGCGATCGACGGTGATGTCGTTGTAGTTGATATACCGGATTAGGAGTGGTCGGCGATGTGTTTGAGACTGTTAGGACGGGTTCCGGCTAATCTTACAAGCGGTGTCGGTGTCGTTAGGATTGTTTGGCTGAGGGATGAATTCAGTCATCTGCTGGGAAATGCATCACAGGAGGTTATAGAGCAATTTGCACGAGCTTATGCTTTATCTCTGATGGGAGGTGTACTTTTCCCGGATCGGTCTGGAGCTACGATGCACCTACAGTACCTACTTCTGATTGAGGATTGGCAGAGAGCTGGACGGTTCACCTGGGGAGCTGCTGTTTTATCCTAACTGTACCGTGAGATGGGTAGGTCGACTTTGCACATTACGCATTCCGGCACTTCTCTAGGCGGTGACCTTGGTGGATGGGTCGCTCTACTGCAGTTCTGGGCGTGAGAGCGATTCCCACATTTGGCCCCTCGACATTCAGAGACGAGGGCACATATTTCCGAGGATGCATCCCCACATGGTCTTCGATGGCTTTCGGCCAACAATAGTCAGTATGGTGACCAGCTATTCCAGTACAAGCTGTGGTTTGACGCGATGGACACCGTGGTGGTTAGTATATAACATTCCATTTTATAGAATAGTTTTCATTTGTTTTATTTTTTTATATTTAGGGATAATAACGTTAATTTTTTTTTTATGTAGTGGCAACCTTACCTTGAGAGAGCACTTCATCTCAGAGGTAGTGTGATACAGTTTGAGACATTTCAAGCAGTAGTGCCACTTATATGCTTTTCATCGGTGATGTGGCATCATCCAGACCGCGTGCTCTGGCAGTTTGGCATGAGGCAGCATGAGCCTCATCCGCCACATCCTGAGGCTGAGGTTAGGTTTTTTCTTCGTCAGGCTACTCGTGGGCCCTCTCGTGGGCAGCAGTTGGTACACGCCTCCAGAGAGTCGCTTGCTTTCTGGAACCGTCGACACGAGTTTGTAGCTACGGCTCCATACACTGATGAGGAGTTAGCCTACCACTCGGAGCATATGGATTGGTATAGAGATGTCACCAAACGTTCCGGCACACGGAGAGGAGCTGCAGCGGAGGCATTGGTTAGTTATTTGATTTGTTTGCTTAATTTGTTGTTAACTGTCTGAAATATCTGACATTTTTTGGTGTTTTTTAGTACGACACTTTCGAGCATGCTGAGGTGAGTTTGCGTGACGGTGTACGGGCTGGAGGGCTGACCCCCGACCAGTGTGAGGACTTGGCCAACATTATGGCATCCGGGATTGCTACTCTAAGTTTTGAGCAGCGTAGATACCCTGATCTCACAGTACCTGTACAACCCTATTATGATCAGCCCGTCATGACTGCCTGGCCAGAGCGTACTAATCCGACACCGGGCTGGGTCGTCTCAGAGCCACAGTTCAGACAGGAGCATAGGCCACGTAGACAGCGACGTGAGCATCGTGATGTACCTAACCCGTTCCAGATTTCATATCGACAGCGAGCACAGCCCGTCCGTCCTACCTCGAGGAGCTTCCAGTTTAATCCGCCTCGGTCGCAGTTTCAGTCAGATCCTTCCTCGAGCTTTTAGCTGCCGCGACGGCAGCAGTTTCAGTAAGATCCGTCTTCGAGCTTCTATCAGCCAGAGGATAGCTTCCATACACCGCAGCATGCTACGATGGGAAACATGGCCTCAGGTGGTGATACTAGAGCAACCTCGTCTCCCGACCTGTGGGACAGCCTAGAGGGTGATGAGACATTTCAGGAGACGATGTGGAATTATGAGAAGCATCTTCAGTCTCGGCATGGTGGCGGTGTACCTGAGGAGCAGATTCAGTCTCAGCAGGATGATATGTTCGGTACACAGGATTAGGATGGTGGTGTCGAGGGAGATCAGCCTCAGGAGTATGATGGTAGACCTCCACGTAACAGGGTGCCTGCGAGGTGTGGTACTGGCGGCCATCTAGTGGTGGAGCATGGTGGTCGTCGTGGTGGTCGTCAGTGAGACTATTATTTTTGGATTGTTATTATTATGTACTTCCTTGGGACTATTCTTTTTGGATTGTTATTATTATGTACTTCCTTGAGACTATTATTTTTGGTTTGTTATTATTATTATTATTATTATTATTAACGATAAAAACCATAACAACTACATACCAAACAACAACAACTTCAAACAACAACTTCTACATGGTAAATCAAAAGAAATACAACAACTTCTACCACCTCTCAGCCACGTCTATTACCTCTACTTCCTCTTTTACCACCTTTCGCACTTCGTTGGCCACCAGCAATAAGTCAGCGGTGCCACCTTAGTCTTGGGCGCCACCGCTTGGGATGATTTCCCACCAACTCACTTAGGTCTCAGGCGGTGCCACCTGAGTCTTGGGCGCCGCCGTTGTCAAATTAATAAAACGATCCAAAAAGTCAGCAAAAGCGGCAGCGCCTGAGTCTCAGGTGGTCTCGCCGATTCTTTTCTCCAAAACACAATATTTGTGTTAATACTTTTTAATCCGCCATATTTGTAGTAAATTTAATAAAAAACAATATTTGTGTCATTCTCCATGTTCAGTCTGAGTCGAAGAAACTCGTTACTCGTATTCCACGTCCGACATCCTCTGTTCCCTGCCTTATGCGTGGCTACCTACACATGATTAACTGTCCGGAGAGGTTGGGAATCCGGCGGTTAACGTAGCCAGGCAGGCAGCCTCCCAATTCGCCTCCATCGACCTGAGTTTCTTCTTTGTACCCTGTCCGGATAACGACGTGTGTCTGAGAGAGAACCAAAAGAAAATTGAAGGACAAGGCAGCACCCAGCAGAACAGAAGAGCACTTTATAATTTATATACACAATTCATAACACGCGCCTGGCCAGCTGCGCGTGCTCCTGGAAAAAGCATTTCCACCACCACCGCCACCGCTCCCGTCCACTGACACGTTAATCTATGTAAATGCTATGTCTGGCTGGCTGGCTGTTCCCTCCAATTTCTTCCTCTTCCTTTCCCATTCCCCCCCTTTCCTTTTCATCTTTGCCCTTTTCTGTTGGGACTTCTCTGTTTCTCCCTTTTTCTTTTCCCTCTGCTTTATTTGATTTCTCATGCAAAATAACTTTCACTCAGTGGTAGTCAAATTCAACTCAAAGGTTCACTGAGAGGGAGGGACCCCTTTCTCCCCCATTGCCTAAATGCCTTTCTCCATCTTTCCGTTGTGCTTTGGGGATGGATTGGTGCGGGAGCTATATATAATTACTAGTTAGTAGTTACTACACAATTGGTTTGGACTTCGAGAGGATTTACATGTTAATTAGAAGTCAAGAGCATGTATGTTTTAAATGAAAGTTGATGTTATTCGAGAATGAATAAAATTTTCAAGAATCGTTAATTTTTGGAGTACATATATATTTTGTTTAAATATTTTTTTTTTCAAACTTCCAGACACATATTACAAATCGATAATGACAAAATCAAACATTGTTGGTCGTTCAATCCTTATAGAACCGAAGCTAATGATACGTAACATACAGTTATTTGCTAAGTATTGTGTGCGTGCAAACTTCTATATGTAATTACCTTTAAATTTGGACAACGAACAAACCATAATTGATTAGGCCAGAACAAAGCCTACTAGTGAAGTAGAACATGAAGTTCTCACGTAAGGTCGCGTGAATAGTGGCCAGGCTAATTTAGCTACTGGTTAATCGTACTCTTTCGCAATAATTTTATATTTATTGTCTTCGCTTTAAATCCAGCCGATATTATGTGGGTAGATTGCTATTTGATTGGTGCTTTGCAGAATTACACCCGTCGCTAACGAGAGTGAGAGAGAGGCAAATAATTGGGATGTCAGTCAATGGTTTACTTGCGAGCAATCAGCGTCAGAGAGAGGCATGGAACCAATAGAAATAGAAGTTATAATAATAATCTCATTTAATTTGCGCGAGAATTTCCAAGCCTATTACTCTATCTACTCTCACTTCCCCGTTCCCATCTTCCTAGAAACATGCAACTCCATAAAAAAACTTATAAAAACAAGAATGCTCCCTAGCCAGCCAGCTCCATAGTCCACACTCCACGGCATAGTCATTTGACTATCCACAAACTATTAATAAATAAATCAATCAACCGCACAAAATTCCCCCATCAGAATTCTTTCTCAATTCTCACCCACCACCACCAATACTATCTATACAACTGTAAATCACCCGGATAACCCAAATTACATACAACAATCTTAAGCGCCCTCCAAAATCAACAAGGTTTCTTAGAGAAGTTCGAGTTATAGTCTAGTAAATCGACTAATTATATGTAACAAGGTTTCTTGGAGAAGTATTCTAGGGTTGATAGTGAAAATGATGTATTTCAAACAATATGTACACAATGTTTGTTAAGAAATTTTATGTATTTTGGTTTACGTTGTTTGGCTTTTGTAAATATATTGTAGAGTTTAATATATAAAAAAACATATGATTGGAACAAAAAATTCTAATAATCTTAACCAAACTATTTCAGTAATTCACATAAAAAAATATGAGATTTAACTATCTCTAAGTTTAAGTGATAATTATTATCACATCAAACAAACAATGATTGCAATGTTTATGCATGAAATAAAATGAGTAATTATAAACCATACTAACAATCTCAACTAAGCTATCACCAAAATCAAACAACCAGTCATTATTTTGTTTTGTTGAAGTTTCCTATATAGAGATTTTGTCCACCTGTGTATTGTTTTGCCGTAGCTCAATTCAGTTTTGTATGACGAGGTACAATCAAGATGTGGTGTGCAGTGATATGATTGAGAACACGAAATTTATATACACGAAATTTTCAATTCCAAGTTCAACAATCTTCACTAAAAAGGTTAAAGTTACAACTTATATAAGTTTACTCTGGTGAAATTTCAAGTCAAAAAGTTTTTACATATTGAATTGTGCTATATAACTCGAAGTTATTTATCGTATGATATCGTACCATCTGCCATGGGCCATCGGCATTCCACTTTGACATAGAATCATTTGGGATTTATACAAATTCGGATCATGATTCGTGAGCAGAATCCGGTCTCTCGTGTTCCACTCAATTTACCCTATACATGTATCAGAGTGAATATATCGTTAGTAGACAGTAGTATCGGGTCCCGCCATTAAAAAAGAAAGTGACAGAAGCAACAAAAATGGAATCGGATTAATCAACAATCCTCTCTCCCCACGGATCAGCGAGAAAAAAAGCTGACGAGAATCGGAAACAAGACGAGCAGAAAAGAGAATTAGAACAGAGAGCAACCCCCCAGATTCCATTTGCAGCACGCACCAAACAACAAAACGAAAGCGGCCGGGGAGCAAAGTAAGGAAGAAGGAGCAAGCCCAAATGCCTTCCAGAGTGATCCTATCCTCTCCACCGCCGCCGCCGCCGCCACCGTTCTCCGACCACCACCACATTCCTCGGCCAAGCTTCCTGCTGAAGAGCAGAATCCTGTTCCTATCCCTCACCATCTCCGCCACTGCAGTCATCATCTTCACCATCCTCTGCTTCCTCTACCACCTCTCCCGCTCCTTCCTCCACCACTACCACTACTTCCGCTCCCGCCGCCGCGCCCGCACCATCCCCTTCGACGACTCCCCTCTCGCCGCCGCCAAGCTCAAGCGCTTCACCTACTCCGACCTCAAGCTCGCCACCAACGACTTCCACGACTCCTCCGTCATCGGCCGCGGCGGCTCCGCCACCGTCTTCCGCGCCATCGCCCGGGACGGCAAGCTCTACGCAGTCAAGCGCCTCGACTCCGCCGCCCTCACCCTCAACTCCGAGCGCGAGTTCCAAAACGAGCTCCACATCCTCGGCGGCCTCAAATCCCCTTTCCTCGTCACCCTATTGGGCTACTGCGTCGAAAAAAAACACCGATTGCTGGTCTACGAGTACATGCCCAACAAGAGCCTGCAGGAATGGCTGTTCGGCGAGGGCAATTTGGGGATGGAGGTTCTGACCTGGGAGAGGCGGTTCAGCGTGATTGCCGACGTGGCGAGAGCGCTCGAATTCCTCCACACGGGGTGCGACCCTCCCGTGATTCACGGCGACGTCAAGCCCAGCAATGTCCTCCTCGATTTCGACCTCCGGGCCAAGATTTCGGACTTCGGGTTGTCCCGGGTCAAAGGGGAACCCGAATTCGGGCCCGATTTGTTCACGAGCCAGGATTTCGGCAAGAGCCAGGAGCTTTCCGGGAATCTGACGCCGTTAGAGAGCAGTGCTGCGAACAACGAGGTTGTGGATTTCGCGCTGGCTCTGCAGGCTTCTTCGTCGTCGAGCAAGGGAGGTGGGTACGCCGTGAACGGAGTGAAGTTCAACTCCGTTAGCTATAACGGGGTTTTTGCAGTGGAGACGGGGAAGGGGAAGGAGGTTTCGGCGGCGGCGGCGGGGGAGAATGGGGGAGATGACGAGCATAGCAGGGAGCTTACTTGCAGCGTCGATCAGGAGAATCACGATCAAGATCCGGCGGAGGAAAGCGGGAAGCAATGGGGGAAAGATTGGTGGTGGAGGCAAGACGGGAGTGGCGAACTGTGCAGCAAAGATTATGTGATGGAATGGATTGGCAGCCAAATTTGTCCTTCCACTAACCCTAATTGGGAAGACCACGCGGCGGCTATAACACCGGGCGCTCCTCCTCCTCCGCCTCCGTCGCCGCCAGCAACGACAGCGGCAGCTACTCGATCGGATGGCGTGGTGGAAGAGGAGAACTTTAAGGTCAAGAAGAACAAGAACAAGAAGAATCAAAACATGACGATGAAGGAATGGTGGAGAGAAGAGCACTTGGAGGAAATGTGCAAGAAGGGGAGCAACAAATTGAAAGCCAATAATCAAATTCAGTTCAAATGGAAGAAAGGGTTCAAGATTCATTTCCACCGTCGGAAGAAATCGATGGAGAAGAAGCAAGAACATCACTTTGAAACAGAGTTGAACGGAGGGGAGTTCAGTTTCAGGGGAGCATGGAGGAAGAAGAAGATGAATCGTAATACGAATCAGAATGCCGCAAACGGAAGCGAAATGTGGAGTGGGGATTTGTTCAGCAGGGAACTGAGCAGCACAACTACGAGCATGAGAGGGACATTATGCTACGTTGCGCCGGAGTACAGCGGCGGCGAGAAATCCGATGTATACAGCTTCGGAGTTCTGATTCTGGTGATAGTTTCAGGGAGAAGGCCGCTCCACGTTCTGGCTTCGCCGATGAAGCTAGAGAAGGCGAATTTGGTCAGCTGGTGCAGGCAATTGGCACAGTCTGGTGGGTTGGATAATGTGTTGGAGCTTGTGGATGAGAGGTTGAAGGGCGAGTACGATAAAGAGCAGGCGAGTTTGTGCATAAACTTGGCGCTGCTCTGCCTGCAGAAGATGCCGGAGCTGCGGCCGGATATTGGGGATATAGTGAGGATACTGAGAGGGGAGATGGAGGTTCCGCCGCTGCCGTTTGAGTTCTCTCCATCTCCACCTCCGCCTTCCAAATTGTTCCACAAGTCGAGGAGAAAACAGAGGGCTAATGGCGATAACAACACTAGTACAGAGTAGTTGCTAAGAATTGGTGTGTAGATTGGTGTGAGGGATATTTCATTGACCATTTTTGTATGTGTAAATTGAGAGTTGTGTGTTGGATTTTTTGGGCTTTCCATTCCATCTTCTTCTCCAAAGTGTTTCGGTTCATCAAATGATTCATCGGTCTTTGTGGGTTGTAGCTATGAAATGATACAGAGGACACACCAGAGCAAAGATTCTGCATCTCCATTGTTGATGATGCTCAGCCTCTGCCTTCAGTTTGTAAGGTCGATCACCTTTCACATTTGGGTCATGTAGAAAAATTAGTTACGGCCTAAGGCCGATAATGGACAGCTATTTTTCAATTAAGAAAAAGGTTAAAGATGGTTACTTCAATGACTACAATTCCGACGTTGAAGTCTACCACTTAAATTTGAAGATGAAATCAGAAAAATTCTTATTTATGCTTACTACAACTATGACGTTAAAGTTGGTAGTCTAGTATGTGTTACTCTAATTATGAAGTGCTACTACGGTTGTTACTACAAATATACAACTATAAACAATATCCAACTCAAATCTTAAAACTCTTAATAGTTGGTCATTTCCTGCATCTAAATCATTATGCTAATAATCATTGGGATTCATCCTTCCTCCGCCATGTATTGGGGATGTAGGGATCCTCTAATTGTTTAACCATTCCATGGTCAGAATTGGAAAATTTCAAGGAACGTACGCACATAACACGAAGTCTTTACTGGCATCAGCAATGATAAGTAACTTCGTCAAAAAAAAAAAAAAAAAGCAATGATAAGTAAAGCATTTGTATAATTTGGAGGCAACAATATTCAAACCCTCCATTTCTAAACTAAACACGCTGTGGCTGTCCTTTTCAGGAAAGAGTTTTCAAATGATATTTGAAAGGATCCATGTCAAGCTTTCTGGATTACGTTTCGTTAATGCTAAAAAGAGGGGATTATGTTTCGGCTTTGTCTTTATTTTTTTCTTTCTTTATCAGTTTAGTGCCCATCTTTTTATATTTCACGATTTGATACATTAATTTTAAAATTTTAACATAAAATATCATTGAAAAATTATATTTTGGTACCTAACCTTTTTTCTTATGATAATTTAGTTTCCAATTTTTTTGAAATTTACATATTGGCCAAATATTTAGATAACACTTGGATTCATAAATCCAACCCACTAATTCATTTGATCCGTGCATGAATCTACTAATAAATTTTATTCAAATTCATAACTCCCAATTTAATGTATCAATCCATGAATCCAATCATTTTGCCATCTATATAGACTAACAACTATCGAAAGCAATGTTATTATTGGATTTCAGCCTCACGATCTCATATTTGAATCGCAAGGTGCACTCCTGGGTAAGCAATCATTGAACGACAACAATAATAGGAGAGAAATTGCATTTTATATTGTAAGTAAGTAGTGACTTGTGAGCAATATTTTTGGAAAGTACTACAATAATACTGTGGGCAATGTTGACGGGAGTGGATATGATACTTTTTTTTATAAATGGATGCGGAGCATTCTAACCTTCATTCATTACTAGACAGAGCTCAGAAATCCCCTGAACAACATACAAAATTCTGTACGTCAGTGTAGGATCACTAACAGTAAAAGAATGGAAACCTAGCGGCAAATAACGCCATTTATTAGCAAGGTAATTGACACACTTATTACCCTTTTTATAGACATGATCAACCTCCCAATCCCACCTACATAAGGCTTGGATACGATTAGTAATAGCATTGTGCTGGTGGTCCAGGTTTGCGTTGGTGCTGAGAAGGTGGACGACACATCGAGAATTCAATTTCACCCTCCCGCGTCTAAGTCCCATATCCCAGGCAAGTTAAAGTCCTTCCACAATGCCTCTCAATTCTGCTCGGGTGATTAAACAAATTCTCAAGTTAAGTGTGAACGCGGCAATGCAGTGCCCTAAATGATCTCTAATCAAGCCCCCAGTTGCAACAGAGCCTGATTCATGGTGAACAGAGCTGTCGGAGTTAACAGTGACCCACTCGGGAGGAGGAGGAGGCTTCCAGGAGATCAACTCCTCCGTTCTAGCAGGCAGACTTGGATGATGAACAATCATGTCCATGACAGTCCTCACGACAGTTATCCAAGCCAGCATGCGCTGTAGAAAGACTTCAACTGAGACTACTTTGTTTGCAAAGGGACCAACAAAGGGATATCGAAAGATAAGCTAGTATGTTCTTCATCTATATATTTTTCAATTCATTCCTCCAAAGGGACCAACAAGTGATATCGAAAGATAAGCTAGTATGTTCTTCATCTATATATTTTTCAATTCATTCCTACAGTGGCAAACTGAAGAAGGTCTAGTATTCAGAAGGTTGGAGTAGCCTCATCCAAGTTAACCTGACAAATTCACAGTCCCTCAACACATGCAAGACTGTTTCTGTATGGGAACGACATAAGGTGCATGCCGTCTGATTCGTCAAGTGCCTTTATCCCCGCTCAACATTGGTGAGGAGCCTCTCTCTAACTATGAGCCATAGGAAGTGTTGAACTCGCGCAGGTCCCCTCAATCTCCATATGATCCACCAATCAAACTCCCCCTTAAGCTACTTGTGGTTCACTGCAAGGTCATAGGCCGACCGAACCCAGAATTGGCCATTTGACTCTAGAACCCACGAGGAAACATCCATTCCCGAGCCTTCCATAGGAGGTTGAACTCCATGTACCTATAAAATCAATTCTTCAGGGAGCAAAGGACGCAGAAGAGGGATATCCCACTCACCTAAAGGAGTAACGAATGCCTCCAATGCAATTTGGGGGTTGACTGGGGGCGCGTCCTCCAGGATGTGATCAATGAGACGCTCCCCACTATCAATCTACCGGTCAGTCCAAAAGGAAGTTGTCTAGCCATCGTTCACGCCCATGAGTATCCCTGCCGACATGATAGGCCAGGCTTTGCGAATCCTTCTCCATAAAGTAGATGATCGAGTGGCAGTTTTAGCCACCAATTGTCCGTCCACCATTTTGAAGTATTTTGCCTGATTAAGCTCACAGACTTTCCTTAAACCCAATTCACCCTCCTTCTTTGGCCAACAAACTGCTTCCCATCCACAGTTTTATCATGTGAACTAAACACTTTCTCAGAGTCTTGTAGATCACATTACACAAACCTATGGGTCAAAAATGTTGGATACTTTATGGGATTTCTTTCTTGGAGATTAACACCAGCAAAGTTTCATTAACAACACCACTTTCCAAATTTATGGTAAAAGATAGGTGGGTAATCGTCTTTTCAAGGTGCTTTGAATCCTCCCATGATTTTTATTGTAGCCCATGTTTCCTCTCGTGTGATCCCTTGTGTCCTTCTAAATTGTTTTGAAGGCTGTCGGCAGCTTGGGCGCTAGGCCGAACTCTGCTCGGAATAGGGTAGCATAGAAATCTCTAGCCAACTTGCAAAGATAATCTTCCTCAAAAACCAAATTTCCCTGGTCGTCTTTAAGGCCACAGATATGATTGAAACTCCTCCTCTTGAACGTGGATAGGTGGTAGTAACACATATTTCTATCGCCTTCTGCCACCCACTAACAACTGGATTTTTGAAACCAGAAAAGGTGTTCTTGCCATATAGTGGATCCAAGCTCATGTCTTACTTCCTTTTATTTAGCCTGGGAGTAAGGGGTGCCACCCCTCTCATTTTCTTCCTCCAATCTTCGTAGTCTCCACACAAGTAGTCTCTTGCGATGGAGAATATGGCCAAAGGTTTTCCTGTTCCAGACATGCAACTCGGTTGTGAGAGCCTTTGAGGACTAATTGAAATTCTCTCCCTGCGACTAGTGATCCTTGAGAACTCGACCAAAGTCTTCATGGGCTAGCTAGGCCTACAAGAAGTAGAAGGGTTTGTGCCCTGAGTTGGTAGTCTGTGCATCCCCCATCAAGAGAATTGACCTATGGTCGGAACCCACCTTCTCAAGATGGAGCGTGATCGTCTGTGGGTGTCTTGTCATCTATTGCTTATTGCAAAGAGCTCTATCAAGGTGCTGGTGGAGAGCCCCTTGTGCCATGTGAAGCTAATGTCTAATAAGCCATTTTTATCAACACACATCATGAATGACCTCATACGAGCCTCTTGATAGGGTACCCCTCCGTATCGATCAGTCGACCTCATAATGGAGTTAGAATCACCAATAAGTATCTAAAGTATGGTCATCTGCCTAGATATACCATCGATCTTATTCTACGATTGATGTCAAAGGGCAGTGTTTGGGCTTCCATATAGTGCAGATACTACAATCGCACTCTCTATGTCGTGCTTGACACAAGTAAAGTGAATTATCTGCTCTCATTCGGTTATCGCCGTCACCTAAATAGAGTGACGATGTCATAGCACCCAGATACCACCTGAAAAACCAACCATATCCATGATTAAATACCCATCATAACCAGTTTTATGGATCACCTCCCTATCTGTATCCCCGCTAATACATGGTTCTACAATGACCACCAAGTACGGCCTTGTAGAGGCACATAAATTCCCAAGTAACCTAAAAATTTGTCACTACCTGCCCCTTGGCATTTCCAAGATAAAATGTTCAACATAATAACAAAAGAAAAAAAACGAAACTAGCAAAGAGGAGGAGACTCTCCTGGGGACGGACGTCAGGCTCGTGTGAGGTTTCCCTCCCAACTTCATCTTCTCTGGGGCCACAGTGGTAGTGCTCTAGGTTTTTTTCTCGGCGCTCTGTCCTTGGAAAGAAGGATAAACTCGCTCGTTGGTGATACCCTCCCCATGCTTGGGAGTCTTCTAGTTCTTCGATTGGGGAGGTGCTTTGTTGGAGCCGCCCTTCTTTAAGGGTCCTTTACCCAACATTGGGGAAGTAGTAGATTGGAGTCCGAGTCCATTGCTTACTACCTGTACCACCTGTTGGATAGGGACGTTAACCAAGCCTTTTAGTGGTATGATTTTCTCCTGCCTAGCGACAGTCACAGGCTTGGCCGACAACTCGGGAGTCAGTCCTCTAGTCTCGACCAGTTGTCCACTCGATGAGGAGGATGGAACACCAATTGAAAAGGTAGTAGCCGCCGTGAATTGCTTCTCTGGTACAATTACCGAAGCACTAGGAATGGCCTGTGCATGTTTCCCACCTGTTGCTTCCTCCTCCTCCATTGGTGACAAATCCTCGATGACTATGGCTGTGAAACGGGACCCTGTCGGCTACATGGTGTTCTTCCCATGTAAATTCGAGACTGGTCGTTCCTCTACATGAGCAGTCTTTGTGTCTGATTGTTTGTTCTTTGGTTTCACCATAATCCATTCTCCTATGCCTTCTTCTATTGGTCAGCCGGTGGAGGTGTGGGTAATCTTACCTCTGGAGACTCCATGGGTGTTTTCCTCAACATCGGGCATGTGGTTTTTGAGTGGCCATATACCCCACAATTATTTGTACAGACATTGTGGATTCCCTCGTATTCCACGTAGTATGTTCCTTCCACGATTTTGAACTGTCATAGAAGAGGTTTCATTAGGTCTATCTTCATGCAAACTAGGTCGAACTTGGTCTTAGCTCTCGGCGTCGTTGTTCGGTTTAATGAACTCGGTCGATCCGCGAAGCTATTCTTTCCACAGATTCACGATTAAGGAATTCTACTGGTAACTCTCGCAGACGAGCTCATACAAGGGTAGTAGCTACCTCCTCAAATTTTGGATTGAAACTCCTTCTCCATGGCCTCACAGTGATATAGTGATTACGAATCATTCACAAGCCACCCATGGTCGCCTGTCCGTAGTCTATCTTGATCTTGAAGCGAACGACATAGAAGTCATAAGATAGACTGAATATCTATATGTTACCCGTCTTTGCCAATAGAGTTTCCAGGCATTTCGACATGATTGGGAACGGGAACATGCGTCCTAGAAATTTGATGATGAGTGTTGAGCTCCAGGTCCTTCGAAATCTCAGTTTCTCCTATTTTGTGGTGTGGCTTGTTGCATGTTCTTCTGTAATTTGTGGTTTGCTTCATCATACTTTTGGTGAGACTTGGGACGCGAAATTAATGACCATAGCCATACGCGTGTGCCCCTTAACTTCTTTTTTTTTTTGCATTTGAAGGAGACCGCAGCCAAGAAAAAGAAGAAGGGATTACAGGGGGTAGGGGGTGGAAGAAGTTTGAATCGCGACGCGGCGTTCGAAGGTATTGCCTCGACAGTCATCTCGAAGATGGGTCGCTAGTCCGGGGGGTGGTTTAGCTAGCTCATGCATACCGTAGGGATAGACGAGACTATGCTTCGAGAGCAAGTCTGCGACTCTATTCCCTTCCCGGTATACATGGGCGATGCCAACCAACTAGTCCCGTCCTAGCTTCCTTCGGATACTAGACAAAAGAGTAGCGTAGGGGTGGAAAGGTTCATCTCTATTCTGAATGAGCTTCACGGCCAACTGCGAGTCTGAATCAACTTTGAGTGCTATGTATCCAAGTCTCCAAGCCAACTCCAGCCAATGGTTGATTCCTCATATCTCCGCAAGAGCAGTTGTGGCTACTCCAATATTAGCCACGAAATATCCAATCCAATTACCTGTCGAGTCTCTAATAATTCCTCCAGCTCCAGCCGGACCAGGGTTCGCATTAGAAGCTCCGTCCACATTCAAAGTAACCCATCCTTCCCGAGGGGGGGACCAGTAGATGTCCTCCCATTGCCGATTTGCAGGGCGCGCACGGCTGTCCGGGGAGCAGTGCAGGTGCATGCCAGGAGTCATGCCACAACTTTGCCTTGGTCATGATGGTGTCCTCAAGGGTTGGTGCTGAGAGAGCAGTTGTTCTCCCTCGAAGAGCAGCCGTGCACCTATTCTTCCAAAGGAGCCAGGCTGCCATGCTGAAAAAGCCGGCCAGCCGATGTCAGCAGTTGTCATCTCTTCCTCTAAAAGGTTCTTACGAAGCCATTCCTCTTGTGGATAGCCGAAGAAGGGCTGCTGGCATTGAGGAGGAACATGGTGGGACCAGAAGAAAAGAGATGCGGGACAGTCCGTGAGAATGTGAAGGATTGACTCAGACTGGCTTGTGCACTGATCACAACAAGGATTCAATGCAATTTTCCTACTGTGCCGGAGGACATTGGTAGCAATCTTCCCCAACAGTGTCTTCCACAAGAAAGCTCTAATCCGCTCCGGAACCAGAATTCGCCAAATGGTCTTCCAAATCTTCTCATCCTGGTCCGGAGGCCTTTGCGTGAGCAAGGGGAAGGCCGATTTGGTGGAGAAGCGGCCATCTGCAGTTGCTGACCAGAAAAGTCGGTCCTCCTCTTGAGAGAGCTTATCAACCGCAATACTCATAATTTTATGGTAGATCTCGCTCAGAAGGAGGTTGCTGAAGAGCACCGTTCGCCAACTCCCGTCATCACAAGTGAACTAGGCGACTGCTGCCACCTCCAGCTCCAGTGGAATGTCACCTGTGGCCATCTCTTTCAAAGAAACCTGTAAAACCCATGGATCAAGCCAAAATTTAGTGCCTTTACCATTCTTAATATTCCACGCACACCCATTTTTTAGAATGGGAGAAGCTTTAGAAAAGCTGACCCAGGTAAAGGAACTTTCCTTGACTGGCCGGAGCATGTTGAGACCTTATCTCTGTCTTTCATATTTCGCTTGCATCACTCGAGTCCACAATGTGTCTTTTTCCTGGACCAGGCGCCATCCACTTTTAGCTAACATGACAAGGTTAGCTTGCCTCGTTTGTCTAATGCCCACTCCACCTTGTCATTTCGGAGTTGTCATCTTTCCCAGGCCACCAGGTGAATTTTACTCTTGTCCAGCTCATCCCCCCAAATGAAATCCCTATTTAGCCTGTCAATGCTCTTGCAGATGTTGATGAGAATCACTTCAGTCTGCATACTGTAAACAGACAAAGAAACAACAACAGATTTGGTTAGAGTGAGTCTTCCTGCGAAGGAGAGGCGTTTAGTCTTCCAAGGAGCCATCCTCTTCTGGATGCAAAGGATGAGAGATTGGTATCTATCCCTAGTCACCCGCCCCTGGATCGCCTGGATGCCAAGATATCGTCCCAAGGCCACCTTAAGAGGAATCCCCGCCTGGTGACTTAGTCTCGTTGCCCTCTGCCAATGTATGTTTGGGGAGACATAGAGAATCGACTTGTCGTAGTTGACTTTTTGCCCAGAACTATAGAAAAAATCATCCAAGCATTGTTTCACAATCTGGACTGCCTAGACTCTGCCTCTGCAAAAAGGAGAAGGTCATCTGCAAAGAAAAGATGTGTGATAGGTGGACCATTAGCAGTTAGCTTAATTGCTTTCCACTGCCCACTGTTAACTGCTTCATCAATCCTGTGCGATAAACGCTCCATACAAAGAACAAAAGAGGTAGGGTGAAAGGGTATCTCCCTGACAAACACCACGCGACAGAGTAATAGGTTGAGAGAGCTCGACATTCCAGAGAATCCTCATTCTATTCTGTTCCACACAAGTTATAATGCAACTTATCCAAGTATTGGGAAGGTCAACTTCCTTAAGTGTGTCCCTTTGAAAGTCCCATCTTAGTCTGTCGTAAGCATTCTCAAAGTCGATCTTGAAAATCATTCTTCCTTTCTTGCCTCTCTTCTTTTCCAGAGTGTGGAGGACTTTCTGGACCACAATGATATTGTCTGTCGTCTGCTTCCCTGGGATGAAGCTACTTTGTCTGGCTGAAACTAGCTTCTTCATGATGGACTTTAGTCTACATGTCAAAGCTTTGGTGATAGCTTTGAGACTGACATTGTTGAGTGAGATGGGGCGGAGTTGAGTGACCCTCTCTCTAGTGTCGACCTTTGGTATCATCACTAGGGTGGAGTCCGAGATGCTTTCCGGAAGAGAAACCGTAGAAAAGAAAGATAAAGCCATGCCTGCCAACTTTTTCCCCACAATCGCCCACATCTGCTGGTAGAAGACCACATGATATCCGTCCGGCCCAGGAGCTTGAAACGGCTTCATCTCAAAAATCGATTTATGAATGTCCTGAATAGTGAAAGGGTGCAGAAGTAGAATCATCTCCGTCTGGCTTAATGGAGGGAACGCATGTTGCGGCGGCTTATCTTCATAAGGGAGATTCTCCTGCAGGAAAAGGTTAGAAACATAACTGAAAACTAGAGAGGCCAAGGTTTGAGGATCAGTCACCCAGTTCTCATTCACATCCTGGAGGGCTTCAATCTTATTTCGACGCCTTCTGATGTTGACAAGTTGATGGAAGTAGGTAGTATTACGCTTCCCATACTTCACCCACTTGTCTCTAGAGCGCTGAAACCAAAGGAATCTTCCTGCTCGAGAATTATGTTCAACTCACCTCAAGCTTTGACCGAAGCTTGGCTAACCCAGGAGTGAAGGAACTCGCCAGTCTGAAATCAACACCTTTGATTCTAGCTAACAGTCTGTTCTTCTTACTGTGGATGCTTCCAAAAGTATGCGCATTCCAGTCCTGTAACTTGTCTGAAAGAGTACGATCGCATTGGGAAAAGGGGTGTTGGGGTCCCAGGCTGCTGAGATAAACTCTCGCAAATTGGCTTCTGTTAGCCAAGCCACCTCGAACGTGAAGGGCCGGTTGCTGCTGCTAGCTCCAATGCGAGGGGAGATAGAGGTCAGAAGAGGGATGTGGTCGGAATGGAGCCTAGGTAGATGTGTAACCATGGAGTTTGGAAAGGTTTCATTCCACCGCAAGTTGCAAAGACTCCTATCTAGCCTGCTGGCCTTAAAAGTGTGTTGCTGATCCCCCCTAGTCTAAGTGAATCTTGGTCCAGAGAACCCCAGATCAATCAGCTCCGCCCGATTAATTCGATCATTGAAAATGCGACATCTCGTCATGGTAGAGGCCATTGGAGAGGTGTATTTCTCTTCCAGGTTGCGTATGGCGTTGAAATCCCCTGAAAGGAGCCAAGGGAGGTCGATCCACTCACTTTGATGAATGATATTATCCCACAACAACCGTTCCTCGCTTGATCGAGGGGACGCATACACCGCAGTTAAGACCCATGGTTACTTAGAAGCTTCTTCAACCCGCAGAGAAATATGCTGATTGCAGGCAGAGATGAGTTGTGTTGAGAACCTCTTGGTGTCCAAGAACACCCAAATACCTCCGCTTCTCCCATTCGCTTCCACTCGGATGGAGTTCGGATATCCCAGTTTATCACAGACAGCATCCGCGGCCGTGACGCTAATCTGAGGTTCCAGGAGAATGAAAAAATCCGGGTGGTAGGTTTGGATAACTAGTTTCAGAGAACGCATAAAAGCTCTGTTGTCGGCACCTCCTACATTCCAGGAAAAAATATTTAAATTAGAGTTAATAGACATCGACATGATAACAAGGAAAAAAGGAAAGGGAGGGAAAGAGCAGAGGGAGAAGTTTCATTGGTTGAGCGCGCCAGGGTTGACGGGTCTGGCATTCGCCGTTAGACCCTCCATCTGTGACCTGGAGCTTCCTCCAACTGGCTTGTCCGACGCTTACTTAGCGGTACTTGTCCATGCATTAATCTCTTGTAAGGTAAGAGTTGCGATTCTAGTTCTTGATTTGGATTTGCGATCCTTCTATGACAAACATGTATCTACTTTTATAAATTCGTATTAATTGTGGTCAACTTCTTAAAATAAAGAAAATTATTTAAAATATTTATACTGACCGGAACTAGTATTTATATCAATGGTTGCAACCTAACCTAACCTTTGCCTAATGTTTATGGTCAAAGATTCTTTCCCCAATCTTAGGGTTGCAATTATTTGGTAGGGCAACTTCCTTGCGGGCATTTGTTTGCATGAATATGATTGATTTTACGAACTCAT